TTTTTTTGTTGAAGAGGGTCTGTGTAGTCCTTCTGCTTAGTCCGCCATCTTGCCAGAACTCCTCACCTTCAACTTAAACTTGCATATGAACAAGTGATGGTCTGTTTCAGTCAGCCCCTGGGCCTTGCTCTGACTGATGATATTGAGCTCTCCATTATCTCCTTTCCATAGATGCAGTCCATTGAATTCCTGTGTGCTCTACCTGTTGAGGTCCACATGTATAGAAGCCATTTATGTTGTTGAAAAAAGGTATTTACAATAAATTGTTGGTCTTTCAAAATTGTGTCATGTGATTTCCAGCGTCATTTCTATTACCAAGGCCATATTTTCCACCTACTGATGCTGCTTCTTTGTTTCCAACTTTTGCATTACAATCCCAAGTAATTATCAATGCATCCTGATTGCATGCTTGGTATATTTCAGACTGTAGAAGTTGGTGAAAAAAAATGTTCAGTTTCTTCATCTTTGGCTTTAGTGGTTGATGTATATGTTTTGGGTAACAGTAGTTTTCCTTGCAGGAGTATGGATATTATACTATCAATGACAGCACTGTACTTCAGGATAGACTTTGAAATGTTCTTTTTAATGATGAATACGAGACCATTCTCTTCAATTTTTCATTCCCAGCATCAAAACCAAACCAAACTCACTGCCCTCGAGTTGATTCGACCTGTAACGACCCCTTCTTGAGTTTCTGAGGCAGAAAGGGCTCCCCCTGGCTTAATCTGGGATAATTTGAACAATGAAATAAGTAATCACGTAAAAGATAATTCAGCAACTAAATGAGAAATCCATGTGGCCTAAGTGATAAATACACAGGAATAAATAAACAGAGGAATAGGAAAATCTCTTCCTTATAGTTGAATGGTAACTAATAAATAGAGAAGGAATGTTGGAGTTAGAGTGGATGCTAAAACTAGTTGGGTGAAAACTGAATGAGAAAAAGGATCTTTAAGTACAGGTAGTTTCTAACTTATGACATATTTGAGTTAGAACACACTGTACTTATGACTTATCATCCATGGTTTTTCGGGTTTTTTGTACATTTTATCATTAGTAATACATACTATACACAATGTGGCGGAATGCAATTTGCTGATGTTATCATTCTCATGTCAACCCCCAAATAATAACAACATATAATAATAATAACAGATTAGATTTATAAAGAGACTGACAATACAAGGAAACAATAATGAAAACTTAAAAATAAAAAACAGGTATTCGGCTTATATCAGAACTGACTTAGGATGGAATCATCGGAACGGAACTCTGTAAATCAGGGATTATCTGCAGTCTTTAAGTTATCTCCCCAGAAATGACTTATTTTTTACAAAGGGAAATGTAGTAACTTCACAGTAAAGCAATCTACTGGATATCATATTAGCCAAGTAGTCAAAGTCATTATCACCAACAGTGAGACAAACCAACAAGTGACTCCTGATATAATGCACTAAGGACACACACCTCTGGTATTGATGGAAAAAAGGCTTAATGTGAATGTAATCATGAGGAAACAGCAGACAAATCAAAATTATTGGACATTCAACAAAATAACTAGCTTATACTCCTAAAACATACCAAGGTCAAGAAAGGCAAAGACGTCTAAGAAACTTTTCAGATTGAAGGGGCCTAAAAAAAAAGTAACAAATTCAATGCAGATCCTGGACCAGAGGGAAAAATCTATGAAGAGTGTTATTATGACAGGTAACAAAATCTGCATATGAACTGTGGAGACTGCATCAATATTAAGTTTTCTGGTTTTGATAATCAGTGCAGTTGGTTCAGAAAAAATACTCAAATTATTCAGAAAAAATGTGTGTGTGTACACATAGTGTGCGTGTTGAGGGAAAGGAAAAGAGGAGGAAATGGGAGAGTGCGTGTGTGAGAAAATAAATAGGGAAAAATGTAAAGATTAGTAAATCTGGGGAAAGGTATATGGCTTGTTGTTGTTTGCTACTGAGTCAGACCTGACTCATAGCAACCCCTCCTTGAGTTTCTGAGGCGGTATCACTACAGAAATAGATTGCCCAACCTTCCTTCTGAGGACTGGCTGGTGGATATGGCAGTTACTTGTATTATCCTTGCAACTGTTCTCTAAGAATGGAATTACTTCATATAAAGAGTTACCCCAAACAGATACACTCTTCGGAGAGATCAATCATGGGAGAATAGAAAGGTTGTGTATGAACAGGGAGACAGCTCGAGGGGCAGGAGTGCATGGAGGGAAGGACACAGGGAAAAGGTGGCTATGGGGAGGAAGTGAGAGGAGAGCTGTTGCATTGTGAGAGACTGCAGTCAATGTCATGAGACAAAGTATATGTGAACTGCTGTGTGGAAGATGAATTTGCTCGGTAAACTTTCACCCAAATCACAATGAAAATTTAAAAAAA